TGTGTGTGTGTGTGTGTGTGTGTGTGTGTGTGTGTGTGATATGTCTAGATATATCTGAGACATTCTTGAACTTTTGGGATCATGAGAAGAGTTTTCAGGGCCGTAAACCTGTATGGCGCTGATCTTTGGGCCATGAATTTTTACAAACCGACGGTTTAGTAGCTTTGATACCTCTTGATAAAACCGTGTAGAAAGTTGGGGCCTTAATTGTTCTTTGCCTTTGGAGCAGCTGCTTTACCGGTGACATGTATTTCCCCGCCTACATTTCTCCCTTCTCCGCCTCCCACCGCCTATCTCTTCATAGTCGTCTTAAGAACGTCTGAGGGTCCCAGGCAGTGCTATTTGTTGACGAAGAGTGTAATCTACCCACTATGTGTGCGTCAACACAGTCTTTGTATGTTTTTTAGCTTGTAAAATGGGGTTCTGTTGGATTTTTCTTCTTTCGTGTGGTTCATATTTGTAAGAATTTTACAGCGCTTGCAACATAAATAATAATTGGTCATAAAGGTGCCCAAGATTAGAAGTGTCACTTGAGAGTAACATACACAGATACTTGAGAGTAACATACTACATAATAACATACAGAGATTAGAAGGGGGAGAGATAAGGACGACATACGTTTAACAGAAGCTAAGGCGCAAACCGCACCAGAGCATCCGAAAACCACCCACTCCTTTTTAGAACAAATAAAAGTTTCACATAAAGCACAGGCAACTGAATCCCACCCCTCCCCATTCATTCACGTGACCTACAGTCTACAGATACTTCTTCCCAATCTTAATCACCCGACAATGGTGAAGGGTTCTATTGGTTTCTTTTATTTTTGCTTTTGTGTTTTTCTTTTCCTTTCTTTTTTTTGTCAAGTAGAGGAGTATGTGACAGCGGTGTGACGAGAAAACGCCCTTGTTTGAGTAACATTTCCCTTAAAAAAAAATCTTTTCATTGTTGGCCATGGGTAAAACCAGATCTCTACTTCACACACAAGAGACGCTTCAAACATGTAGACTAAATAAGCTCTTTGTTTGATTCTTTTGGGATTTCCCCCTGGGTTTATCTTTCTCATTCTCACAGCAAAATGGTGAAGGAATAGCTAGTGGTTGATTGGTGGGCGCTCTAGTGTGGTAGCGGCCTCTTTATAGTGTAGCGGCTAGGCGGCGCTTTGCTGTCGCACGCAGAAGACCAGAGTTCGATTCTCGTGTGGAGGCTGTTTTAAATTATCGAGTGCCTGGGTCCTTTTGCTTGGGCAAGGTATCTCTGTCTCATCCCTGGTTGGTCCAGACAGGTAGGGTTGACGCCTACTTTTCAAATAATCTAAATTGCGTCCATGGGGGCGTAAAAATGCAATTACATATATTGATTTTCAAGAGAGAGATAGAAAGAGAGGGGGGGAGAGAGAGAGAGAGAGAGAGAGAGAGAGAGAGAG